TGTTTGTTTCTGAATGGTTTGGCTTGGGCATTGGCAATTTTCTTTCCACACCACCAGTTTTTTGGCCCAACAACACTTTGAATTGTTTCCCTTTGTAACTGGATTTGCTTGATGCACCCCACACCATTTTATTCTCTTTTTTTTTCTTTTATTTTACATTCTGATTTTATTTAAATGGTTCTAAATATGATAAAATTCCCCAAAAATATTTTCTAAATAATTTTACATCTTATTTAATTTTTCATTATTTTTATTTTTATAATTCATTTTGATTTATTTTTATGATGTGTTTATTTGACCTAGGTTTGAAACATTGATTTGATTCATGCCTTTCCCAATTGATTCTTGATCCATGCTTTTGCACACATCTAAGCACGTGTATGTAAGACATTTGAGTGATTAATTGAAGTCTTATTCATGTATTTTTGTCTTAGTTTGAAATGCTTCTTGATGCTTAACTTCTTTGATCACTAGTTTGTGTATTGCCCGATGTTTGAGATGTTTTGAGCACTATTTGTACACATGCTTAGGCATTCCTTTTTAGGGAACATTGAGTTACTACCTCCTTGATATCATGTGTGATGCTTAACTTCTTTGATCACTAGTTTGTGTATTACCTGATGTTTGAGATGTTTTGAGCACTATTTGTCCACATGCTTAGGCATTCCCACAATTTTTGAAGCCTCTTAACTATTTTTTCATGTGTGATGCATTACATGCCTAATTATTTGGATGTGCTTAAACTTTGTGGATTAATTAAAAGTACACTTATGCAACCACTTAGAGTTTGTTCTCCCCTCGTGTTCTTGATTGAAATACCATGAGGTAGAACCTTTGTTTGAGTTTCATTAGGTCATTTCTTCCATCTTTCTTGATGCCTAATTATAGCTTGTTTCTTTTGATTGAACATGCTTAGTGTTTAACCTAGTTTCGAATCTTTTAATAACTTGTGCTTGATTGAAGTTTGAAATGCTTTTGGATGTGATTACATGCTGCCTTGAATTGATTGTGGCTTTGATTTCATCATCATTTATTCCTTTTCCCATTCTTTGATTGATATCCTAAAATAATGATGTTTTGAGTTTGCTTCTTTGGTATTTTGACCTAACTTCTCAAGGTGTTTTCTTGTATAACCTTAGTGGATGCATATGAGTTTTTGTATGATTAAAATGACATGTTCGAGAGTTTTATTTCCATGTTGTGTTGATCATTGTATGATCTCTCCTCTTTTTTTCCTTCACATGATCACCTTTGTTCTTTTGTGAGTGGTTTGATTGGTGTTTGCTTAGCCCTTTTGAGCATGATGGTTGTTGGATTTGGTTTGATATTTTGGAATTGAATGTGATATTATACATTTGAGTATGGTTATGACCTTGATATTATGGTATCTCTTACTTGATCATTTGTGCTTTGTGCCTTGTTTGAACATTTCTTTTTCTTTAAGGATGACCATGATGTATGCTTGCTCAGCCTTGATGCATGTTTTGGATTTAATCCTTGTTGTTTCTCTTGCGTATTCATGAGTTGATGTTCATGATTATATTGCTGCCCCTACTTGATTTCTAACCCTAATCCCACATAGCTAATCTTTTGAAGTGCATTTTTTGTATGAGTTATGTGTGGACAATTGTTTGAGTGTTGGTGTGATGCATGTCTTGTACGATTTTGCTCCTCCTCTAATTTTTGATATAAGTTGAAAATGATGTGATGTAGCTATTGCCTTTATTTGTTCTCATTTCATCTTTGTCCATCTTATTTGGATGCTTTGACATTTGATGTTTGTTTAGGATTCTTTGCCCTTATGTGCTTTGCATATCTGTTTCATCTGTACTTGACATGATGCATTCTTCATCCATGATGTGATGCCTTGCTTTATAAGTTTATTGGATACTATATTATTTATCTCACATATTTGTATTCATTATCTATCTCTGGCTTTGACATTTGATGTCCCTCATTTACATTCTTATGATATTTTAGTTGCCTCTGTTGTGAGTCCAAGGGAAGGACTTTTAGTTGACTATACTGTCATGTGCATTGCATCTATTTTGCATTTCCCTATTTTTCTTCTTAATTCTTTGTTTGATCCCTATTTTCCTTTAGGTTGATTACCTTAGCATGTATACACTTAGACCATTCCCCTTAGACTAACACACTTAGTTTGTATCCTTGGGCTAGTCCTCTTAGGATTGCTTCAACTTTAGATAACCTACAATTAGGTTCCCTTCTCCCATGAGAGAACTAGACATGAGTCATCCCTAATTGAGATTTAATTCCTCTACCCCATGACATAGTTAAGAAAGAAATTGATTTCTTTTCCAGTTAAGAGAGGTATGTGGCATACTCGTTGATTTTATATCTGAGTTGGAGCCCTTCTCTTAATGTGAAGAAAATATTCATCTTCCATATGTTTGTGGCGGTTTAAGTTGAGTATTCTCCTTAAGATGGTAACTTATCTCTTCTCCTAAAACTAATCAACAAACATTGTTTACCCGTAGTAAGGGGAACTACGAATGCTCTAATTCCATCATAGTCAGGATACGTAGGCACGTGATGTGATGTCTTGGCGAGCATACTTAGGAGTAGCACCTTAGGTCTCCCTTTTTCTTTTTACCCTTGGCAGATAACAAATAACATATTAACACAAGAGGTTACTGTAGAGTATTACAGATACTTGAGATGCTAGCACCTTCCCTAGGTATAACCAACGCCTGAACCTTAGTTTCTCTTTATTGCTTTGTTTTTGCATTGTATGTTTATGGGTTTATTCGTTCTTTTCCCATTCCATTGGATAAATTAAAGATTGGTGGTGAATTAAGATTTGTGAAGCCTAGCTAACTCAATAGCTATGGTCTTCGATTTTCACCGCGACACTTAGATATTATTTAGATGATCAAAATTAGTTTAAAAATTAAATGAAAATAAAACTTAAATTCTTTGATAAAACAAGAATAAACCTCTCAGAAATGTTCAAAAAGTTAAATCGAATGCACCACAATGATCAGCGTGAAATAAGCCTCTCAAAAACATACAAAGTTTGATCTAATTTTGAAATAAAATTTCATCAGTTAAAAGGCTCAGATTGATCAAAATGCGACCGAAAAAAGTAGTCAAAAAATTAAAATGAGCATGTCAAGTTAAACTATGAAAACCGTAGATTAAGAATACTGACGTCTGCAGGCTCGATTTTAAAAATTTTCGCCATCTAGTTTTATGCACAGTTGAGAATTAGTTCAACCAGTTAGCCTATAAATTCTAAAAATTATTGTAGTTAACATCTTGGATATTATGCAAGATGAAATGCATGTCATGCTATGCAGATGAAACAAATGTCATGATGTATGTATCAATTTGATGATTCAGGGTCAAAATTAGGGTATGACAACGTGTCCTAATGGTATGACTTATTTTAACTTACAGACATAATGGTTAACAAAGTTGACAGACTGAGACATAGCAGGGTTGCTCAACACACATCCGTTCGACGAGAGCGGAGCCAGCAAAATCCAGAGGCTCCAGGTACCTCTGGCCAGGCAGAGCCGTTTACTTCTTGAGCGCCGTCTACTTTTGGGGCTCGTGATTCACCTTAAGCCACTCCATATTTTTCTTCTTATAGGAGACGAGATTCACCATCTAACACATCACTTACCCCATCCTCTCGCAGACGTCGGGATTCACTAGTGCCACCTTCTACAGATGATGCTGCTGATCCAGTCCCACCTCCCACTGATGATGTTGCTGATTCAGTGCCACCTCCGGAGGGTGAGGCTGTTGTGGATGCCGAGGCAGAGGCTTTTGGAGGAGGTCAATTTGATTTGTCCTTACTTCCTCTGTATCTATACCATATTGTTAGACATATATGAGACAAAGAGGTAACATTAGTTAGATTCTTCATTTTTTATTCATTAATTTTAATTGCTGACATTGATAATTTTTTACATTGATTATTCCTGATATTGATTATTTCTGACAAATTTCATAAGAACGATCCCTAGAAGTATGTTCCTTCTAGATTTGATCCTTATATAGCGTCCTCAGGAACTTAAATCTAGCATAAGCACCCTTGGTCATATCCACCTCCTTCATCTGCTCCTCATTTGTCTAAGCGAATCATGCGGCAGTTCGGCTACATTTAGACCATTCTCAGGCACCTTGTTGTCTATGTTCCTCCTTCCTTAATACATATACAGATAGATGAGATGTTTGATGATTATGATAGTCATCTAGTACTAGAGGAGACACGAGTTACCATAATTGAGAGCGACTGGAGCTACATCAAAGAGTACATCAGATGGTTCTTTAAGGTGTCACATCCGTACATGGTGCATACGGCTCCAGAAGATCTGTCGAGACCACTCTGTACTTTATTTTGACGGTCTTACTTCATTTTTATCTCGATTGTAAGACATTTTTTTTAATATATATTGCTATTTTATTTTCGACACACAATATTAGTCTCTTATTATTTTGTAAGTCTATTTTTTTTATTTATTTTTCGATCATGCGTTATACTTTATCTGAACACAGATAAACAATTTGTAGTACAAAATACTTGTTCTGATACATTTCGGAGATGTATCTCTAGAATATTCACAGAGATGCATCTCCGGTACAATTCAAATGTAAATGTCTATTGAGTTGGTTGAATGAGTGTTTAAAATTGTTCCGGAGATGAATCTCTAAAATATTTTAACGTCTATTCAAAAATAAATGTGTTGAGAGATACAACTTAAAAAATTAGGAGCATTTAAATAATTTCGTGTGGTAACTAAAAAAATATGTAGGTGTATTAAGAAATTCTATAAATCAAAGAAGTATATAGTAAAATTTTCGGAGCAAGGCCTTATAACTAAAATAAGCCCATTTCTCAAATCTGAATCCCGAGAAAAAACCTAACGAAAAACCAAGACTGAAAAATTCGAGACTAAGTTCCACTGTGTTTCTGAGATTCGTGAATTGCAAAGGGGTTTTGAGTTTGAGTTTGAGTTTGTAATCGAAGAATGGACGAAGATGAAATTCTTGGATACGTTACTGCATACTTGAAGAAGAAAGGGTTCAAACAAACGGAAAAGGTTTTCCAAGAAGAATTTCAGCAGAACAAAAGCAGTTCCTCATCGAGTACTCTTCTCGAACCTGACATTGCCAATCACCTCCTTGCATTCTCTCAGTAATTTCCTTTTCATTCTCATAATCGTTTCCCGCAACGAATTTTCTGCTAATTCATGTAATACATATGATGTATCTTATGTATTGTAGGTTGGAGAATGGTCCTGCTAGGTATCATAATGGGTATAGTAGGTTAAGAACGTGGACTTACTCTTCATTAGATTTATACAGGGTAATGCAATGCTTAATTGCTTAGTTTTTGTAGTTAAAGTTCATTTATTGAATTGAAATTATTGTTTACATTTTGTTGTTATTACATTGTTTGCTACTTCCTTTCAGCATGAGTTGCTTCGTGTGCTTTATCCTGTATTTATCCATTGCTTTATGGACCTCGTTGCGAAAGGGCATATTCAAGAAGGTATTATCAGTGTATATCCATAAGCCATTTTCAGTTTATGACATATCCATAAGCCATTTTGAGCTTATTCCATAAGCTCAAAGATAGCTTGAGAAAACAACTTATGTCTTAGATAAAAACAATTTGATTTGATTTATTTATAATTAATTATGGAAATAGCTGTTTTAAAAGCACTTGCATCATAAATGCTTAATTATGTTGTTAATCTAAAAAGAGCGCCTGAATTTTAGCCATCAGACATGTGTTTTTTAATTTAATTCTTCTGTTTTTGATATTCTCAGCTAGGAATTTTTTCAATACTTTTCGTGAAGACCATGAATTGATGCACTTACGTGACATTCAAAAATTGGAGGGAGTTCTTTCTCCTACTCATTTGAAGGTTAGTTTCTATCTGAATCTTATGTTACTTTCTTAGTTTATTCTTCTTGTTGGATCATCATTCGTCAACAGTTTGTATTGAATAATCCAATGATATTCTTTTTAATCAGGAAATGGAATTCGCTCATTCACTAAGGCAGAGCAAATTCAACATAAAGATATGTGAGGTAATGTCTTATAACTTTTTTTCTTCTATTTATGCATATTCAAATAAAAATTTTACTCAACTGGATTAGTGTCAGACGCCTCCAGGAATTTAGCACCCTTCCATGCTTTCTAGCCATCCAATGTCCCTGGGCTTTCCATACTCATAGTACAATGCAAATGACTCTATATCAATTAGTTTTCCATTTAAGCTGTTATTGTGATCTACCTTTTTATTGCTTAATGAATCCAATTTGTTGAGTGTATGTGCTGGGTCATGCTTGCACATGATACTGCAGTTATTATTATTATTATTATTATTATTATTATTATTATTACTACTACTACTACTACTATTATGATATTATTATTATTATTATTATTATTTTTTAATTTTTATTTATTATTATTATTATGCATTGATCAAAGTTCCATATTTTATGTTGAGCGAGTCTAGTCAAGGTACATTCACATACTGGATCACTGAGAACGGTGAGCCCGAGAGAGCAGAAGTGAGAATACACAGTCATACCTGGGTGCCTCTACCCAATTTGAAGTTAGAATGTTTTAAACAGGTGGAGAAAAACAAGAATCACTACTATGAATTGTGATTGTTGTTTTGATAGGACACTTTAAGTATACTCTAGAAGGAAGTGAGGCAATGGGGGAGAGAATGTAAGTAAGTTAGTGGATGGGAATATATTGTGATTACAAAGTAGAGAAGGAGCATGGTGACTATGTTGCAAATTGTACACATTGTCATACCACATACTCTTATCTTACATACAAACTCTGGTAGTAGTGATTTAGTCAGCACTTCATTTGGTATTGATGCCACACAACATTGGTGGCAAGTATATATCTACTCAGTATAACGTAGTGTAATCACATGTTAATTATAAAGCTTGAGCATCACATGGGATTACTATAATTTTCATCCTAATCTTCATTGTAATTGTTGTTTACCCTTGTCACGGTTTGGCTCATATGTGAGGTCTTAGTGGAAGTTATGTGCAGGTGTGACGAGTACTATTTTATTTTATTGGTATATGAAATTGTTCTACACCACATTTGATCTATGGACCTTTCAGCAAGAGATGACTTCTTTGGTTCCCTTGTTTCTACCTGGACTTTATTAGTCTTTGTTTATGTTTGTATTTGTCTCTTCACTTTCATAATTGTGCTGTTTTCATTTTTCGGTAATGGAGGAAACTGATATTGGTTATTCTGTATCAGTATTCCTATGAACTTCTGCTGCAACATCTACACAGTACCCAATCCACCACTATACTTGGTATAGTCAACGAGCATATTAACTTCCAAGGTACCTTTATTCACTTTTAGCTGCATCTGTTCATTTTAACTTGTTATTACTCATACTTCGTATTTAATTTTTTGCAATATAGTTACTTCTGGACAACCTAGCTTGATTTCCGATGATCCAGAAGCTGTTACCCTTATTGGAAGCAGCCAGGAAGCAGCGAACCAGACAAACCAGAAAGAAATACACTGGGGGGTGAGGCTATTATTATATCTCCAGAATTGACCAAGTTAGGAATTTTCTTGCTGATGTTGTTTTTGTTAATATGGACATAGTTATTTACTTTTGCAAAATCCTGGTATGATAAAAGTGTCTTCATGACTGCCAATGTTTCATGACTGCCAATGTTGAGATAACCACGTGACTTGGGTTCAGGCAACTGACAAAGTAGCTCCCTTATCATGCTCATGTCATGATAGTGTATGGAGTGGTGCATATGTGATGTAACTTATTTAGCTGCAGGAAACACCATACTCAAGAATTGTTACTAATTGGACCGAACCAGCTGGTAAAATTTGCAGTGGTCCTAAATGATGACATGATGGATTCATTGTTGAATAGTGGCTAAAATGCTATACCGTAGCAGAGTTTGAATGAATCATTTTGTTTCAGATATGCTTTTTTGTACAAAATATTGTCAAAATTTAAATGAACTGCTATTTTCCGGGATCCCTAATTGGCAACATTGGATAGATGTGATTCTGCCATGTCATAGTTAGTAGTTCTCCCTTGGATATGTGAGAAATTGGCAAGCCAATTTATGCCTTTGGTTTTGCTGCAGCAACCACTAAATCTAAATGGTAATTGCTGGTCCGTATATATTTATAAACCACAAAATAATGTTTATCTAAAATAAAGAAATACTTATACAAGATTATAAATGCATTTACCTATAATGTACAATAGAAAATAATGATAAATTGATACTCATTGAACGATTACCTACTGCACTTAACTTATAAATCCTGAATTTTTTTAAAGTTAATTTGTATCTTTAATATTCATACTATCTAATTAAATGTAACATCAATTTCTTTTATTTATTTATTTTTGGTTAAGGGAAGCTACAGTATTGAATGTTGTGTGCTTATTATATGAATTATTGAACTATTATATTTTCTGATAACATTTCATTTAATTAATTATTGATACATTCTAGTATTTAAATATTTAAAGGAGTACATTTAAAAAATGTTACGAGTACATTTTAAAGGAGTACATTCTTAAATATTTAAAAATGTTACGAGTACATTTTTTGCTGAATTTAGCAACACATTCCTAATGACCGTGGTTGTAAAATATTTGTGGATTTAATCTAAGATTTATCAACCTTTAGCCCTTCATCCTCTATTTTCCTGTACAAGTGGTCTAGGTTCAATGTATTGGGTTATTGGTAATAATGTATATCTCCTTGCCGAGGATCAAATTCAGATGCACCATCACCATGCTTGGTGTATAGTGCTAATTTCAACTGGCAATATGGCTGTTGAGCAAGAAAAACTGCATTTTTTGCTTTGCTAGCTTCAAAAGTGCTAATAATTAGTTTTTGGATGAATGACTTTTTTGATGTAAATTACTAAATGTGTTTGTCCAATAGTTGCTTGAAGATTCGCTAGAAGAACGGTTAGAAAAGGCCGGGGCCTTGCTTTCAGACTCTGAAAAGGGTGATGGGGAGACAAAAGAGGGGGAAAATGATGAGAGTAAGGTATGTCTTTTAAAAGTGCACCTCTGACTCTTATCTATTTCCACACATACCTATAAATTGTAGTCCATTTCTATATATCTTTGAACTTAGGCATTTCTAGTAAATGAATTTCAATTGAAGACATTTTTGCTAATTTAGTTCTATAATTCATTATTTGAGGTTTTTTTTTGCTTTTATTTTCATATGTTTTTCTTTTAGAAAAGATCAATTGAAGTTGGAAAGCAAGGTGCTTCAGTCAAAAAGATAAAAAAGGACAAGGGTGGAAGCGCAACAGCGAAAACTGCAAAGCCTGAAGTTAGCACTGTATCAGCAGCTCCTCGAGTTAAACCAGAACTCCCCTTGCCCACAATGTATACTTTCAAGTCTAAGTCTTTATTTTACACTTAAAATTCTATAGAGTTTATATTCAAGCAGAAAGCAATCAAGCCACTATGCTCATTTTTGTTTTCATTATGAATTGCAGAATCAGCATTAGCAACACTATTCTAAAACAGTTAATGATTATTAAAATAGAGTTAGTTTTGATACACTCAATGTAAAACAGTTTACACTGTAAACAAATCACAACCAATCATATGTATGTCTTCAGAAGTAGTTATTAATAGAGTTTTGTAAGAAGAGCATATTCAAGAAGGAGAGTTTTGTATTGATTAAATCTCAAATGAATGAATACACTGTTATGCTTTATATAGACAAAGCTTTGCATAACAGAAAGTACAGCTCAACATAACTAACTCTAACAGTTAGTTATGACTGATAACAGATTTATATTAAATGCTGCCAGGTCAGCATTTCTAGACTATTCTATTCTATGCTTATACTCTAATAGTTATAAAGTCAAATGTTTCCAATTATAATTATAATTGGCTGATAGTGTAAATTTTTACATTAACAGGTTTTTCACGATAAGCATATTTTTTTGTACAAATTTCATGCCATGAGAAGGGTTTCAAATGTTTCCAATTATACTTATTATTGGTTGATAGTGTAAATTTTTACATTGACAGGTTTTTCACGATAAGCATATTTTTTTTGTATTAGAGTTTGTGTTTGGCCAAACTCTAATACTTCGTACTTTTTTCATGCCATGAGAATGGTTTGGCTTCTCTATTATTTGATCAGATTCTTCATTTCTTTATTTGCTTTTTACTGTATCATGTCTTTGTCACCTACTTAAGGTATTAGCATTTGAGTTCGGATTATTAATTACAAATAGTAAATTTGTTACTTCATTCCATTGAGTTTAATAATGTTGCACCGTTGCAGTCCAACAGAGGTAGAACACTCCATCCTTGAAGATTTAAGGAACCGTGTACAACTTAGTAGTGTTGCGCTGCCATCAGTTAGCTTTTATACTTTCATCAATACACATAATGGGTAATGCCTACTGCATACTTTCAATGTTATTTACTATGTTAGACTTCTGTTGCATAATGCTTATATTATGGCCAACTATTTCAGTTTAAGCTGTTCATCAATATCTCATGACGGATCATTGGTTGCTGGAGGATTTTCTGACTCGTCACTAAAGGTTTTTTTATTCTACATTCTCTACCTTCCATCCTTCTAGAAGAAAACTCTCTTACAATAGAGTTTTATTTTAGTTGATGATTGAATTTCTAGTAATTTTTCCGAATTCTATGAGCAGGTTTGGGATATGGCCAAGCTTGGACAACAACCCTCCAGTTGTAAGTTTGTATTAGATATTTCTTGTTTAAACTAACTCTTACATTCTTTGTTTGATAAACTTGGTTGTGGCTAGATACAAGTATAGTGGTTCAAAGACTAGTTTTTAATGTGTTTTGGTGACCTAATATAAAACAACCAACACATGAGTAAATCAACTTAGATACTAATGAAAGATACTGTGGTGTTGCTTTACATATAGAATTTTTCACTGTATCATATTTAAAAAGAGGTTCTATGCAGTGTCTTTGTTTCTAGTCATGGAACTTTAGGCTAGGACTTTCTAGAACTATTCCTTCATAGTGCGTTATTAGTTAGGTTGTTTACTTTATAAATTCGAGTAGATTTTTTGGACAGTTTAAGAATATGTCAGAAGCCAATGTGTTCTTTCTGTTTCCAAATTTTCGGGATAAGATTTAAGGATCACATTTTTGCTTTCTTTATTGTTGTGCTGTTGCTTCCTTCATAGTGCGTTATTAGTTAGGTTGTTTACTTTATAAATTCGAGTAGATTTTTTGGACAGTTTAAGAATATGTCAGAAGCCAATGTGTTCTTTCTGTTTCCAAATTTTCGGGATAAGATTTAAGGATCACATTTTTGCTTTCTTTATTGTTGTGCTGTTGTGCAATGTGTCATAAGTATCCATACTTAAAGTTGGCATTATAGTTTATAATTTTATATGCAATGAATGATAGTCATCTCCTAGCTGTTATTATTGCTAAAAAAAAGGTCTTTTGCTATAACATTTCAGCACCAGGGCCTCTATAGAAGAATTTGATAGTTTTGTTGAACAAAGCCAAAAACTGAGTTTATGTTAACAAATGCTCATGTATTTCCTTTTTATAATCATCCTGTTATCAATTCCACCATCTTCAGCTCTTTCACAAGGTGACAATGATACGGCACAAAATGAACAAACTCTTGGGAAAAGTGGCGGGAAGAGACAATATACGCTGTTTCAAGGTCACGCCGGACCGGTTTATGCAGCCTCTTTTTGTCCCGTTGGCGATTTCCTACTTTCATCGTCAGCAGACTCAACAGGTATGTTATACTTATCTTCTTTTAGTATTTATGTTTCATTGCTTTTGGCTGTTTTTTATTTGTCATACTCTAGTTTTAATTTTGAATGGATCATGCAGTTCGATTATGGAGCACAAAGCTTAATGCCAATCTTGTTTGTTACAAGGGCCACAATTATCCTGTCTGGGATGTTCAGGTAAATCATTTTCTTCTGAAATTTTCTATTTGATGAAGAATATTGAAACAACATGCCAAATACTTGAATAAAATAATTAAAAAAAAAATTTAATAAAACAATTCCACCTGCTTTGAACAAATAAAGCATGCACATGTATGCAAGTCAGATCATAGTAGTTTTTTGCAAAAAATTCAAAATGTCCTCATAATGTGATCCTCATTCTTTCTTCCATCTGTATGTATGCATGTGAGAATAAGTTCTTTTAGCGAAAGCAAAGAAGTGTACCAAAGGATATAGGTCCATAAAATTAAAGGAGAAAGTCCAACACCAGTGAATAGAAAACATTAACATTAGTGCAGCGAGGCTACCCATTCCCTGAAAACATCTGTGCTTTTTATAAAACGCGCTCTATTTCTCTTTAGCAGGCTCTCTATTTTTTGAGGATAGCAATATACTTCGTATGCTGCGTGCTACTCTAGAAAATAGATATCTAAAATGGTTAGGACAGGCTTAGTATATGCTTTAACCTTGTACATTTTTCCTCGCCATCCCTCGAGTGAGATTGTTAAGATATTGTTTTACATGCATGTTTTCGGAAGGCCGTGTTCTTTATTTCTTTTTCTGGATGCATGCAGTTTAGTCCCATGGGGCATTATTTTGCCAGTTGTTCACATGACAGAACTGCTAGGGTTTGGTCCATGGACAGGATACATCCCTTAAGAATAATGGCGGGACACTTGTCTGATGTTGATGTGAGTTTCTAGTCAATATTTTCTCTTATTCTATTTTTTTTCTTCCAGAATTTGTATTTGTAGGATGTTTTCCTAGCTCATTTGATTTTATATTTACAACTTGATTGCTTCAGAAAATTTGTGCATTGGTTGGTGTTTTAAGAAAGCTTGTCTGTTTTATGCTCTTGTTTAGTGTGTCCAATGGCATGCCAACTGCAACTACATTGCCACTGGTTCCAGTGACAAAACAGTTCGACTATGGGATGTGCAGAGTGGAGAGTGCGTCCGGGTTTTTGTTGGTCACAGGGGTATGGTCTTGTCTTTGTCAATGTCTCCTGATGGGCGCTATATGGCATCTGGTGATGAAGATGGCACAATCATGATGTGGGACCTCTCAAGCGGCCGCTGTGTCACTCCTTTGGTTGGTCACACATCATGCGTCTGGTCACTCGCTTTCAGGTAACCCCCTACCTAATTAAAATACATTGAACTTCATACTTGTGGAAACTAAATATCTGTGTTTGCTTGCTATCATGGCCTCAAACTAATGCTATTCAAAATGCTTGGATGTATCAGTTCTGAAGGTTCTATTCTAGCATCTGGATCTGCTGATTGCACTGTAAAATTATGGGATGTAAATACGAGCACTAAGGTTTCAAGAATTGAAGAAAAGTAAGTTTGTCTAAACATGGAAAAATATGAAGAATTATGTTCTTATACTAACTGATTTTTCCTTTATTAGAAATGGAAATACTAACAGACTCAGAGCACTCAAGACCCTACCAACCAAATCTACCCCGGTTAACGCATTGCGGGTAAATATACAGTGTTGTAGGATTACATGTTTATCGCCGAATATTGTTGATAAGGTTCAATCTAATGATTTGATGCTTGTATTCTGTTTTTGGAAGCAGTTTTCTCGAAGGAATCTTCTCTTTGCAGCTGGAGCTCTTGTAAAAAATGTTTAATATAGTTTAAGGATTCCAAAAGTCAAGTACAAAATGCTAAATGATGTCCACATTTTATACAGGCTTGTTATGTAAATTTTCCATCTAATTTTAACACCTGTATAATGTATTGTTACACTATTGAATAGGAGGTTAAGATTACATTTGTAGTTATTTTAAAAAACCAGGAAAAGCTGGTGTGCTTTTGAAAATTCAGTTTGCACTTGGGAACATTTAAGTATTATCAACACAAGTTTCACGCAGTATTTTTGTATATACGAAAATAAAATACGTATAACAGGTCGTGTCTATGGTGCACCACTTTGCAAGACCATTTTTCACCATTATATAAGATTTAAGAATTCAACCAAACTAAATGACACCCATTATAGAAGATACACTCCCTGTTCTTCTCCTTCCCCTCTGTCAGTAACACAGTTGATAAGTCCTAACTCAAGCTGCTATCTCTTTTCTACAGCTTTCATAAACCCTTAGGTTGATAAATTTACCTCATAGTTTGAGATCACTAGTGTTATCTTTCTTACTCCACAAGGCAAATCAATTGGTTTGTGTCAAGGGAAATATAGTCAATGGTTGAGAAAAGACGGTTCTTCAAGAGGCCGCAGAAGTAATGGTTGAAGTGGAAGTTTCTGTGCTCTTAAGTCAAGTGAAGTGGGTTTGGTGAGGTCACCGGAGAAGCGCCAGCCTGGAAAGGAGATGGAGACTGATTTAGTAAAGTATGTATACTAGTGTCTGGCAGATTTTCTTATCAAATGTTAAAATACTGTTGTGCATATACACCATTTATTTAACTTCTGCACAATAGAAGAAGCCAATATAACACACACCTCTTATCTATAAACCGTGCAAGTAGTTTGAAAAGCCACATACGTGAGCTCCGTCACACTAATTTGGAATAATGTATGACAAGTCACACTAATTTGGAATCATGAATGACAAATGAACGAACATCTTTCAAAAAAATAAAAATGAATTTCTTATTGCACCCTATATATGTTTTTAGTGTACCATATGAATTTTCACATATGCTTCTTGATTTGGGAGATACATATTCGGACACACCCTAAGTTCAATAAACGTTGAAATATTTCAGAGATATATCTTCGAAATAATTTGGAGCTTAACTCGCGTTAGACACTTTTTCTCCCTCACACTTCTCAACATACACTTCTCAAACTCTTCTCATACTCTTCACAACATCAAATTTCAACTTCACAACATCACATTTTATCAAACAAGATTCAAAGGAATATCAAACATCATCAACAACATCATTCAACATCATCAAAACCATAAATTTTTAAAATTTTGAATTTTCGGATAAATTTTGAATTTTATGATAAATGTGTAGAACTCAATAATTAGGGTTAGAAATATGTAGGAATCACATGTAATATAGTTTAGACTTGGTATATGACTTGTTTGTTGTCTCAAAATGACTATCATACCATGTTTTTGCAATATGCATGAGCCATATTACGCCATTGTCGCGACTATGAGTTGTAGAACATTCTGGAGGTACATCTCCCGAATAGTTCGGCGTTTCATATACTTTGTGAATTTTCGGAGATGCATCTGCAAAATTGTTCAACGTTAATGGTTTTATGGTGTTTTCGGAGATGTATCTTCGAAATTATTCAACATTATCGTTTTATGGTCTTTCCAAAGATATATCTTCGGAATATCCTGCAGTCTGTTTTTTATTTTATTTTTAAATTTCATGTGTGTGTGTGTGTGTGTGTGTGTGTGTGTTGTCTGCGTACACTAATGATACACCTTACTTTACCTTAAATGCATTATGGTTGACAGAGTCGACATACTCAGACATGACCGGGTTGCCCAACACGCATCCGTTCGACGGGAGCGGATCTTGCAGGTTCTGAGGCAGCAGGTACGTTTGGTTAGACAGAGGCATCGACTTCTGCGGCACAATCGACTCCTTGGCTCATCCTCCACCTCAGGCCACTTCATCTTAGGCCACTCCACCTTCATCTCAGGTCATTCCATCTTCTTCTTTTCGTAGGAGACGAGATTCACCATCTGACGCGTCACTTCCCCTATCCTCTCGCAGACTTCAGGATTCACCAGTGCCACCTCCTACGGATCCAATGCCACCTCCGACTGATGATCATGTGCCACCTCAGGAGGGTGAGGATGTTGCAGATGCAGAGCCAAAGGGTTTTAGAGGAGGTCCATATGATATGTCGTTACTTCCTATGTATCCAGACTACACTGTCATACATATATGAGATGGAGAGGAAACATTAGTTAAATTCTTTATTTTTTTATGCGTTATTTTAATTTTAATTGTTAACATTGATTATTTATGGTATTGATTATTTATAGCAAATTTCAAAAGTGTGATCTCCAGAAGTTTCTGCACCATGAGAGGAAGATTTCTGTATTGCCTCAGCAGGAGGATGATTGCTTTTAGACAGTGTAATACCCTAATTTTTAGCCCTAAGATCCCACATATCATTTGCGTTTCATACCACATGCAAGATCACTGACTTTGGTTCTCTTGTTCCTCTGTAGGTTTGTCTTTGAAGGCGATCATTGGACACCCTTATTTTCTTGTATGCTTGATGTTTGTTTATATTTATGTTTACTAACCCTTAATTAATATCCAAAATATGTTTGTTTTTGCTTTACTAACTTTTTTAGGAAGAATTTAGATCAAGAATATCAAATACCAGTTCCTCATTTCGAATGAATTTCACCTGAACAAAGTCAAAGTTGATATGCAAATAATTCAAAATCATTTTATCAAGAGTTTTCCAAGATTTGATTGTTCATTACTCAAGAAATTTTAAGGTTCATGTGTTTATTTCCATGCCTTCTTTGACAAGTCAAAAAAATCGAGCCAGAGTCAAGACAACACATCAAAAGGTCATTTTCACACTTTTCCACCGTGTTAATCGATTAACACATTTGTACATGCAAATGGTTAATCGATTAACCAGTGGCTTTTTTAAGAAAATGAGTGAAATTTAAATTCTACAACATTTTGGCACCAATTTTCAAATATTTCATCATGGGAATATTCTAGATCACCTCATTTTAATTCTCCTACCTCATCACAATTGATTCCCACCATACACCTTCACTAATCACCATTTGATTTTGATTTTGCCTCCAAATTCAAGTTCCAAGCCTAACTTTGGTTCCAAACCAAATTCCAAGCCTAAATTCTATAAATAGATGCCTCATTTCATTCATTTCAAGCTTTTTAGAGACAAACTCACCTTGTCAAAATTCCTTCTCATTCTCCCATTTTTTTTCAACTACCAAATTCACCAAAGCTATTTCTTCCTTTGAAAGTTAGTAAGTTCTTCATTGGAACTTACTAATCTTTGAGCTAAAACCTTCATCCAATCATTTTTTCATCATCAATTTCTGTAGATCAAAGCTTCAAAGTGTGGTTCTTGAAGTTGATTTGAAGCATTTTCAGATTTGAAGTGGTAAACCCTTATTCCACCATTGTTATGCTTGATCCATCTTCCACAATATGATCTATTGTTGATTCTTGTTGCTTGATCTTTGGATGTTACAAATTGTGTTTTATTGGTTTTATTTGTTGTTGTTTTACTTGAATTTTCGTGCTAATTTGCATTCATGATCATGAGATGTTTGAAAAAATGATTGGATCATGAATGCTGAATTTTTTTAGATCACTAGTTTGTGTATTGCCTGATGTTTGAGATGTTTTGAGCATTATTTGTACACATGTTTAGGCATTCCTTTTAGGTCACATTGAGTTATTGCCTCCTTGATATCATATGTGACGCTTAACTTCTTTGATCACTAATTTGTGTATTGCTTGATGTTTGAGATGTTTTGAGCACTATTTGTACACATGCTTAGGCATTTCCACAACCACTACAAGAAAAAAGGAGATTTACGACACTTGAGTTGCGACAATTATCACAAAACCGTCCTTATTCTTGGATTGCGACAGTTTTCACGACAATTAGGGTCAACTGTCGTAAATTTTTTGCGACAGTTATAAAAAAACTGTCCTTATTCCTGGACTACGACAGTTTTAACGACGGTTTGAGCCAACCGTCGCAAATTATTTAGGCATGTTATATAAAATAATGCGACAGTTACCAAAGAACCGCCCTCTTTCCGCACTCGCGACAGTTAAGGTGAACTGTCGCAATTACTTTAAGTCAATCATAATCACTATTTTTTTATTCCTTTAATTTCCCACTTTTTTCTTCATTTTTATTTTCTAACCTTTTCAATTTAATTAATTGATTTAATAAATAATGATTATAATTATTATAATTATTATAATTTTCATGACAAAATGTAGCTTAATAGTAATAAATTAAATTTAAAATACATAAAAATTAAAATATTATATATACTTAAAATAAAAATTTAATTTTAAAAACAATTTTTATAGTAAAAGTTAAATTCAAAATATTATATCCAAAATTAAATTATATATCAAAATTTTATAAACTCAAAATTTTAAAAACAATTTTTATAATTTTTATAGTAAAAATTAAACATAAAATTAGACTATATATACTCATAATAATATAAAATATCAAATAAACAAAACATTTCAATCAACATCCATTTATTAAAGAGAAATATAAAAAATTAATTAAAATAAAACTGTACTATGTCGATTGTGATATCCATCAGTTTCTTCCAAAATTTCGTCTCTTTCCCGCTAAAATTGAAAACTGATTCTCCGTGTATTTTTCTCATCTTTTTTAGAAATCTCCATTCATGCCCTTGGAGAAAGAAGGACACAAACTTTTTTCTCAGCCACTCACGCCGTCATTACGAATCACCGTCAAAGCAATCACCATCAATTCGAATCTTAACAAATTTGTCTTCTCAAACCCTAAATTACCTTTAAAACCTTGAATCGGATCCTAGTTTGAAACCTTGTATGTTGTTAATTCAATGGTTTTGTCCTGAGTTCGTATCAGACTCGGTTTTATTTCCGGTGATCGTGTCTGGCTGCGGCGATTACTTTC